ATCACCATGTGTCCCCTCTTCTTCATGTCTCTTCTACATCAACATGTGTCCCCTCTTCTTCATGTCTCTTCTACATCAACATGTGTCCCCTCTTCTTCCTGTCTCTTCTACATCAACATGTGTCCCCTCTTCTTCCTGTCTCTTCTACATCAACATGTGTCCTCTCTTCTTCATGTCTCTTCTACATCAACATGTGTCCCCTCTTCTCCATGTCTCTTCTACATCAACATGTGTCCCCTCTTCTTCATGTCTCTTCTACATCAACATGTGTCCCCTCTTCTTCATGTCTCTTCTACATCAACATGTGTCCCCTCTTCCTCATGTCTCTTCTACATCAACATGTGTCCCCTCTTCTTCATGTCTCTTCTTCATCAACATGTGTCCCCTCTTCTCCATGTCTCTTCTACATCAACATGTGTCCCCTCTTCCTCATGTCTCTTCTACATCAACATGTGTCCCCTCTTCTTCATGTCTCTTCTTCATCAACATGTGTCCCCTCTTCTTCATGTCTCTTCTACATCAACATGTGTCCCCTCTTCCTCATGTCTCTTCTACATCAACATGTGTCCCCTCTTCTTCATGTCTCTTCTACATCAACATGTGTCCCCTCTTCTTCATGTCTCTTCTACATCAACATCTGTCCCCTCTGTCTTCTACATCAACATGTGTCCCCTCTTCTTCCTGTCTCTTCTACATCAACATGTGTCCCTTCTTCTTCATGTCTCTTCTACATCAACATGTGTCCCCTCTTCTTCATGTCTCTTCTACATCAACATGTGTCCCCTCTTCTTCATGTCTCTTCTACATCAACATGTGTCCCCTCTTCTTCATGTCTCTTCTACATCAACATGTGTCCCTACTTCTTCATGTCTCTTCTACATCAACATGTGTCCCCTCTTCTTCATGTCTCTTCTACATCAACATGTGTCCCCTCTTCTCCATGTCTCTTCTACATCAACATGTGTCCCCTCTTCTTCATGTCTCTTCTACATCAACATGTGTCCCCTCTTCTTCATGTCTCTTCTACATCAACATGTGTCCCCTCTTCTTCATGTCTCTTCTACATCAACATGTGTCCCCTCTTCTTCATGTCTCTTCTACATCAACATGTGTCCCCTCTTCTTCATGTCTCTTCTACATCAACATGTGTCCCCTCTTCTTCATGTCTCTTCTACATCAACACGTGTCCCCTCTTCTTCATGTCTCTTCTACATCAACATGTGTCCCTCTTCTCCATGTCTCTTCTACATCAACATGTGTCCCCTCTTCTTCATGTCTCTTCTACATCAACATGTGTCCCCTCTTCTTCATGTCTCTTCTACATCAACATGTGTCCTCTTCTTCATGTCTCTTCTACATCAACATGTGTCCCCTCTGTGGAAAGAGACTCTGAAAGTTTCAGGAACAAAGATTCTCTCTCTTTTTGATCCATTTCTATAAAACCTGTCTGAAAATGAGCTGATCAGATTTTGGCCACTTTATGATGTCATAACGATGTTTTGTCTTGTGTAACCATTAGCCAATCAGCAACCAAGGTAACCCCCCCCCTCTTATCACCTGAATCTCCTCCTAGAGCACCATTGAGTTATTTTTAACCAAATATCTCTCAGAGGGGCGTGGCTCCTTATTTTCATCTAATTTTACCCCCCCTCTATCCCGCATGCCGAGCACACTTTACCACCTCACCTTTGATGTGCCTCCCCTCCACTGAGCCATCAAGCCCCTCCCCCCGCTTCACTGTGAGCACAGGACAGGTCCAGAGACAGATGGAAAAACTCCACCAAGGCAAGGCTGCTGGCCCTGAGGACATCAGCCCCAGGGTCCTGAGGACCTGTGCCTGCCAGCTGTCTCCTGTTCAACAACAACTGTTCAACCTGAGACTGCACCTGGAGACCATCCCGGTGCTGTGGAAGACGTCCTGCGTTGTTCCTGTCCCTAAAAAGACGACTCCTTCTGGGCTCAATCACTATCGCCCAGTAGCACTCACATCTCATGTGATGAAGGTGCTGGAGAGACTGGTCTTGGCCCATCTCAGACCGCAGGTAAGATCATTTCTAGACCCTCTGCAATTTGCCTACCAGCCTCACCTGGGGGCGGACGATGCCATTATTTACCTGCTGCAGCGTGCTCACTCATACCTGGATGGATCGGGTTGCACTGTGAGAATCACCTTTTTTGATTTCTCCAGCACATTCAACGCGATCCAGCCTCGGCTACGGAGTGACAAGCTGCAGGCTATGAGGGTAGACTCGTCCACCATCTCCTGGATTACCAACTACCTCACGGACAGACCACAGTACGTCCGGCTGGGCAGTGTGCTTTCTGATGTGGTGGTTGGTAGTATAGGAGCCCCTCAGGGGACTGTGCTGTCTCCTGTCCTGTTCACCTTATACACCTCTGACTTTCAATACAACTCAGAGTCATGCCACCTGCAGAAGTTTTCGGATGACTCTGCAGTGGTAGGGTGTATAAGGGATGCACGGGAGGAGGAGTACAGAGCACTGGTGGTTGATTTTGTAGAGTGGACTGGAGGAAATCATCTGCTTCTGAATGTGGCCAAGACCAGAGAGATTGTCATTGATTTCAGGAGGAAGAGGACGTCTCCTCAGCCCCTGTGCATTCTGGGAGAGGGTGTGGCTGTTGTGGAGGACTACAAGTACCTGGGAGTGCACTTAGACAATGGGCTGAACTGGAGGATCAACACTGACGCTGTGCACAAGAAGGGGATGAGCCGACTCTATTTTCTGAGGAAGCTGAGATCCTTCCACGTGTGCAGCAAGATGCTGGAGATCTTCTACCAGTCTGTTGTGGCCAGTGCACTCTTCTTTGCTGCGGTCTGCTGGGGGGGGGGGGGGGGCAGCATCAGTGCCGGTGACACCAGCAGGATCAATAAACTGATCAGGAAAGCTGGGTCTGTCATCGGCATCAAGCTGGACCCCTTTGAAGCTGTGGTGGAGAGGAGGACACTGAACAGGCTGTTGTCCATCATGGATAACCCACCCATCCTCTCCACCTGCAGCTGGACAGTCAACGGAGCTCCTTCTCCAACAGACTGCTGCAGCTCCGCAGTGCCATAACTCAACAAATCACCTCTGGCTGGAAGATAACTCTCTGCTCCATAGTTTCTCTTGGAATAAAACCACATTGTACATTTTACACATATATAATCTGTTTATACAATATCTACATGTATATTTTCTATTTTATTTTCTTTCTATTCTTGTTTATTTGTAGTTTTGTTTTATTGTAAAATGCCTCGTCTTTTATGCTGCTGTAACAAAAACAATTTCCCAAATTGGGATCAATAAAGTACCATCTTATCTTATCTTAAAGTAACTGACAGAGAATCAGCACTTTTGAAACAGGGCTGAAACAGAGGGGATTATGGGATGCTGCAATGCATGATCTGTTTGGTATTTGGAGCCAAACACTTCAGAGACATGTTTGTATATATCTGAGACCTATAATATATTGATGAAAAACAGTATGATAGGGGACCTTTAATTAATCGTTTTTTAAAGATGAGCCAAAGACAATGAAAGTCTGTTTCTCACAATGGGAAATATATATATAATACAAAAATATTCCAAGCAAGATACTGTGTTGAAATGAATATATTTCCCTCTGAATGTAGTAAGGTAGACAAGCAGTGACAAAGAAACCTACACAGAAAAGCCATGCTAAATAATCATTTGTAGTGAGAGCTGTCATGTGACGACCCAAACCAACAATGTATCTTTTCTTCAGCTCCAAGCCCATCTGTTATATATTGATCCTGTCCAAAAACACTTCAACCAGAAAAAAGCCACCTAGAGTCAACAGGCCAAACCCTGCTTATAACCAGTGGTGGATAGTACATTTACTCTAGTACTGTACTTAAGTTCTATTTGGAGATTATTCTACTTTCCCTGAGTATTCTCAGTTTATGCTACTTTTTACTTCTACTCCATTGTAGAAGCCAATATCATACTTTTTACTACACTTAATTTATTTGTCAGCTTTTGTTACTAGTTACTTTTTAGGTTTAGATTATTAGCTAACACAAAGTCTAAATTAATTATTAAATAAACTTTGACATACATTTTTTTTCTTCCTTTTTTTGACATACATACACAAGATATCCAGCAGCAGTAAACACATATTCAAATGAGCTCCACCTTTACCAGTTGTGATAAACACGTATAAATAATATTAATAGTAACCCTGTAGCTCAATTTATATGTGATTCTAAAATGGGCCATTACGCATAAGGAGTACTTTTACTTTTGGGACTTTAATATTCCGATGCTTATACTACTGTACTTTTACTTAAGTAAGATATTGAATGCAGGACTTTTACTTGTAACAAAATACTTTTAAAATGTAGTATTGCGACTTTGACCTAAATACAAGACCTGAATACTTCTTACACCACTGCTTTTCACCATAATAAAAAAAGCAAGCCAGACACAGGTAAGAGTGACTTACTTACAGCCAGACTTCACATTTGTATAGTCAAATAATGGAGAGTGGAGCAGAGACAGAGCCTACCTGTAAAGGTCCTCATGGAGTCCTGAGTGTGTGTTCCGGCGCAGACTGTGACACTGGACAGACAAGGTTCACAGCACACACACACAATAAAAGACGCCTTCAGCCGGTGAGATAGTGACTCCTTTAGCCACAGTCATATAGGTTAAACATTTACCGACTGGCAGAGAGGAGCCGACACAATGTGGTGGAAGAAATGTCTGTAGACCCAACAGTGTCCCTTCCTTCTCGTGGCTCTTAGGTCAAAGCCCATTGGTACGTAATAAAGATGTCTTTAAAAAACCCAATATTGCTTTCTAAACATTTCCATTTAAAACAGCTGGTCACTTGAATTATCAACTTTACTCGATAAACACAAACATAAGGAAGCTGTCATTACGCTTAGCATAACAAAGGTAACTACCCAAGTAAACAAGAACATGTTTATGTTTGATCTAATACATCATTCAACAGAAATAACTTAGACAACACTGTTTACATTGTACCATTTAATGCAGCATGTTTCAATGACATGCCAGCAGTGATATTACAGCACTGCACATGCACCACATCATGCTGATCTGAGGATAGAACATCGGATACGAAATAAGGCAGCATTCCTCCATAACCTTTTTAATTTGGAGGGTTAAAGGCAGGTTCAAACAAAAACAGAAATAAGAAAAGAAAAAAGGAGCTGCAAATATTATAATTCATCAACTTCAAGAAAAAAGCTTGAAGTTATTTGGTTCAGCCCTACCATTGATACAGTTGACATGTTGCACCACAAACCCATAGGAAAGGGATAGGAGTATCATGTGCTTTTGAAACCAGCTGGGTACTGGCCCTTTTTTTCATTAGTAGTTGAACATGGGTTTTTACAAAACCCTATTGCCCATTAAACAAAGCAAACTAACTCAAACACAAGTAGATCTGCAAAAACTTTGACTAAAATTACAATATCATATTTAATACTTAATATACTTTAGGTTCTAGCAGGAACTCTAATCATAACATAACTTTAATACAACTTGACTTTTAATGCCAGCTTTTGGTACTTGGTACAGCTCAATGAAATGAAATGTAACAACACGTTTCAGTTTGTACCAAAGCACTACTTAGATGTTCTACATATATGTATAGAACAAACACATTTACAAGACCAAACCAAATGCTGGTGGTGAAATAAGGCAGCTGGTCATATCAGAGAAGAGCAATAAACACACTTCCTCTTGAATGCCGACACAGTGCAGTACATATTTGTTTTCTTTTGAACTGAATGAGTCTAAGGGAAAACATGAAGGTACACTTTGTTAGCTCAATACATATATTAAAAAAGTTCTATAAGGCTTTGCACGGAGGTGGCTGCATGTGACTCCGATTCAGGAACACATTAGGGAGGCACCAAGATGAAATCACTCGTCAGTCTCCCAGCTTAATGGACCTGATTTCAAAATCACTGCAGCAGCCTTGTTATTTTACCCATAAAGACTGACTTAAAACTTATACCCAGCATATTAGCATTTAACAAACAATCTGCTTCAGTTTGAGAGTAAAACATATCAGATGATACCTGTTGAAATCCTTTCAAAAGGTCACCTATTACGCAAAATCCACTTTTCCATGTCTTTTATACATAAATATGTATAAAAATGTTTTTTTTGGGTTGTGCAACCATTAGCCAATAGCGCCCTGTTCAACAGTGCTGACACAGAATCAGCACTTTTGAAACAGGGCTGAAACAGAGGGCTTTATGGCATGCTACAATGATCTGTTTGGTATTTAGAGACAAACACTTCAGAGACATGTTCTGTATATATCTGAGACCTATATTGTTGAAAAAGAGTATAATAGGGGACCTTTAAAAACCAAATAAATGTAACTCCATCTGCCTCCCCAGCCTCCTCTTGTGTTATCACGTAGTTGTATGTACATCAGAAAGTCTATCTATGTGTTCGTGTTCATTAAATGCACCTGAATAGTCAGTGTCAAGCTGCTCATTGTTGTTCCATAGCATTACACCGCCAAAATGCATTTTGCTGCAATTATTGGTAAAAAGCTCGCTGTGAGTCCTGACTGCATTCTCTGTTAGGATTAAAACATGTCTGACAAAGTGATAAAACAAAGTCTCTTTGAGATGCTTGGTAAACTGTTGAATGCAGTCAGCTCTTTACAGTTATGAAGATGTAGCCCGTTTCACCTCCTGGTGTTGATGGCCCATTTGCTTTTTCCTGAGGATGGAGGTATAGTGTCCTTCTCCAGCATCCGTAGAGTCTGCCGGACGCCCTTCTCCACCCTGCGGAAGTGCAGCCTCTTCCAGAAACTCTGCTGCTGCTGACGGCCCCACTCCAGGTCCCTGAGGAACACCTGCAGGGGGAGGGGCTGAGTTACTGTCATGCATCACAATGGACTTCATGGAGGAATGTATTTGTATGCTTACCCTCTCAAACTTCCTTCCTTTGTAGTTAATGATTAAGGAAATACTTTCTTAATGCTATAAAGAGGCCCCCACTTATGTTTTCTCCTCCAAATTGAAGGCCAGCCAACTGACAGCGCAATGCCTCCAAATCCCAGACTCTGGTAGTCTGCCCGACAGGAGGACGGGCAGAGAAGCAAATATCCATGGCCAGACAGCACTACTACAACTTCCATGTTAGTCACGTTACGCCGTTTTTTTTCTATTGACTGACGACGTCTTCAAATCAGCAGTTCATTTTTTCAAAAGTAAAGGTAAAACAACTTCCCAGTACAAACACAATAGCCCTTATTTAAATCATGAGGTCCCAAATGTTGTGAAATGCGCTTAATGCCGCCAAATAATTTGTTTCTTCTTTTTTTTTTCCTAAAGGCTAAAGGCCCAAACATGGACATAACAATAACTTATAGGAGATGACATTCCCGTCTCAGACAAAAAACAGAAGAAATAAAGATACAGTCAGTAGGACCACTTCAACATTTCAAACAAAAATAGTTTGGCAGCCAAAAACCACCTCAAACACAACATGGCAAGCATATTTATTGTTCCTTTAATCCCACTCTTCGTTAGAGCTCATTATTTCCCATGTCATGGCGTGTTGAGCAATCCTTTGATTTTTTGTGGCAATCATTTTTTTCAAAACATGTTTTATTTTTAATCTACTCTTCAAACACCTTAAATTAAGATTACTCCTTGATTGACTTTTAACAATATATATTTTAGCCAGAAGAATAGTTGTATTTATGAACTGTGTGCGGTCTTCATCTAAAAGCCCAAAGGGTGTAAATGTAAATTCAATATTTGCCGCCAAATAATTTGCAAACATGATTTGTGTGGAAACATTTTCATTATTAACATTTATTTTTTATTTGAACCTCTTTTCCTTTCTCTTTCTCGATCCTCCTTAGCAACGGTCATTACAGTCCTTGATCACAGCGGTCGGTTCCACTGGATTAACAATGTGTCACATGTTCTGATCAGAACTTTATTTAGCCTCCGTATTGTTTATGGTTGAATGTGGGCCGCACATATTTTTTGGATTCTTAAGTGGGCCCTGAGTTGAAAAAGGTTGGGAGCCGCTGCTCTATGGGTTAAGATACTCAGCGTCTATTCTCCATGATGAACATGACCATTCATTCGATTGCGGGGTTTCACCACAAGAGGGCGCTTTTTCACAAAAACACATTCACCAGCTAAAATAAGATAAGGTAAGGTTTCGTGGCAGCAGCATTAATACATTGTATTGCACATAATTAGAAATAAAAGAGAGTAGAAAATAAACAATTATACAATATAACATCTCAAAATAGAAGATAGAAGATAAAAACAGAACTAAAAGAGTGAAAATATAAAAGTTGACCGTGAAGATACAAATCTGTAAACTATATGACAAATAAAACACTATTTAACACTTTGTCTTGTTAAGCCGATGGTTCACACGGTATTTCTCCAAGACATACATCAGTTGCACGAAACGTCAATAATGTTTGTGGAATCAGTAGTCAATAGTTATTCATCACATATCAGTAACAGCAACATCTTTCATTTTCAGTGGTGAAATTCATTTGGATTCTTAACCTCTCATACTTTTTACCTTTTTAGTTAATGATTATGCAAATGTTTTCTAAATGCTATAGCCATAGTTTATGGATATTTAACTCAGATTAACTGTTGGGTTTTTCTTATCCCTGAGGTTCCTCTCTGACTTCATTACGTAGTTGTGTGTACCTTCAGCTGCTCCTTGACTCGTTGGCGGTCCCAGGAGGAGATGTTCTTCTGGATCACGCTGAGGATGGGGTGCCAGTCCTCAGAGAGGTCTGAGCCCTCGGTCACTGAAGCCAAGACCTTCACCCTCCGGCCGCTGTGGCTCTTGGGATCTCCTCGGACATACAGCGACTGCTTCCCCACGTCAGTGAGAGGGTTCAGGTACAAGCTGCACAACACACAACACACTACATCAACACAGGAACCTGAAGAGAATATAGTGACACTCTTCACTACACTGTGTTGCAGAGCTGCTCACTGCACAGTGTGGATGCTGGGGTGCTCCCTGCAGGCGTCCACCAGAGTCATGGCAGTCCTGTCTCCGATGTTGTTGTAGGCCACGTTGAGCTCCTGGAGGCCCTTGTGCTGCTGGAGCCTCTCAGCCAGCTCTTGGGCCCCCCGGTCCCCCAGCCCGGTGTGCATCAGGGACAGGTGCGTCAGGGACTGGTTCTCTGGGAAGGCCTCCAGCAGAGTGCTGGCTCCAGACTCCAGCAGAGTGTTGTCACACAGTCTGAAGAACACGTTAGAATAGTCAGACATTGCTGGGCTATTCAATAATGCATATAGGCTGGATTATTGTAACTCTTTATTATCAGGGTGTACCAAGAAGTCAGTCAAGTCGCTTCAGCTGATTCAAAATGCTGCAGCTCGTGTACTAACCAGAGTTAGGAAAAGGGACCACATTACTCCTGTTCTGGCTGCCTTACACTGGCTCCCTATAGAACACAGGATATAATTTAAAATTATTCTTCTCGCCTACAAACCCCTTAATGGGCAGGCGCCATCTTACCTTAAAGAACTCATTATACCCTACTGTCCTACTAGGGCATTGCGTTCCAAGAATGCAGGGTTGTTGGTTGTTCCTAGAGTCTCTAAAAGTACAATGGGAGCCAGAGTCCTTTTCTTATCAAGCTCCACATTTGTGGAATCAGCTTCCAGTTTGTGTTCGGGCGGCAGACACCCTATCCGTTTTTAAGAGTGCGCTTAAGACCTTCCTTTTTGATAAAGCTTATAGTTAGGGCTGATTAGATTCAGCCCCTAGTTTTGCTGATATAGGCTTAGTTTGTCGGGGGACATCTTACTTCTTCCTTCTCTCTGTCTATACCTGTGTACTCTCATGTTCCGATTAACCCAGCTTCCCCAAATGTCTTTCTTTTTGGTGTCTATATACGCCGGGATCCGGAGTCATGGATGATCCTGCGCTCCTCTGTCCTGCATCGCGAGCCCTGGATCTTGAGTCGTGGCTGTGGTCCTGGATCATAGGTCCTGGATGGATATCCTAGTGGATTCATCTTCCTATTATACACACATGCATTTCCAAACATTTGGACTACCTATGTTGCAAATGTATTATCTTTTCAATTTACACACGGCATCTATTGCACGTCTGTCCGTCCTGGGAGAGGGATCCCTCCTCTGTTGCTCTCCCTGAGGTTTCTCCCATTTTTCCCTTTAAACTGTGGGTTTTCTCTGGAAGTGTTTCCTTGTACGATGTGAGGGTCTAAGGACAGAGGGTGTCGTATTGTCATACTGATATTTTGTACAAACTGTAAAGTCCACTGAGACAAATGTAACATTTGTGATATTGGGCTATATAAATAAACATTGATTGATTGATATATTGCAAAAAGTTATATTTTAAATCAAATCGTTTCATACAATCATACTAACTGGGGTTCATATTGATTAATACAAGTGGCCGGTGGGGGTGAGGGTGAGCACCAATTCCTTTCACTTCCTTTATTTATTATTTGTTTTAAAATAAATGTTGCCTGCATGAAACTGACGAGGCAAAGTATCTAGATGCTTCCAGTAGTCCATTTACGGAACATTTTAGTCCGGTTGTCTTTCCCAAGGTCCTGAAGTATTCCCCTTCACATCTGATCTAACGTTTTTTCACCGAAGTTCAGTGGTTGGGAGAAGACAGGAACTGTTTTTTTAAAATATTTGACCATGGCCTGTGACTGCCTTTAACATCAAGCACATTTTCTGAAAAAAGCAGGACTAATGGACCCTTTCTTCTGGGTAAAGCATGTGAGATAAGGATCCTTTAGGAGGCTGTGCTGGTACAGAACAAATGGTCTCACTATATAATTGGTAGTAATAATACTAATAATACTAATAATACTAATGCTACTACTAATAATAATAATAATTGGCATGGTAAAACGTGGTGTTTACTCATGATGTTGAAGGTGTGTTGGTTCACAATAACCACCTGCCTGCTGTTCACCCAGCAGCTAACTGCGTTTGATGAATTACTTTGTAATGTTTGGACCTGATCTGCAGCGCTGTTGGTCAGGTCACTTTGAGTAACTCATTGAATTTTGTATATTCCAAACGAAAGACAACAGCACAGTAAAGAGCGGATTCCTTTGTACAGAACCCGTAAAGACATGAGTAAACGTGTTCTTACTGTAGAGATCTAATACAGCTCTCGGGGTCTAGAAGCAGATCCCTGAGGAGGATGCAGGACTCAGGACCCAGGCTGTTAAACTGCAAACTGAGGACAACAGAGACAGGCAGACACAACAATCACACACAGCATTCACATGCTAGACGAGAATGAGTCATTAGTCAAAATGCCTTTAAAACACATCTTATGACCCATTTATATCAATAAGGCTGGACTAAAAGCACAAGAACCTCTTTGGCTTAATGCCACATCATTAACCTGTTGGAACTGGTTTAACCATGTTTTACCACAGGGATGCCACACGTTGACTCTCTTACTTACATACTTTAGAGAAGTAGACTAATTGATGAGTCAATCAAGAAGAAAAACGATTTAATAAAGAACAAATATATATTTAGAAAAAAACAAAACAGCTATTAATCAAATGAAGCCGATAAGATGCTAACCAATAAACAAAGATACATGTTAGTAGACAAAATGCCAAAGACATGTGAGAGTTCATAGACTCATTTTCCTCTGATTGAAAACGTCACTCAGACATACCTCTTTGATTTACAATAAACTACAAATAAAAGAAAACACACTGTAATTGATTAGGACAGATAAAGTAGTTCTACTGAATTCTGATCAGTCTGATGTATTAACATTGCTATGGTTTAACAAACACTGTTCAATTCTTAGTAATATTACAGTACAACCTTTAGCAAGATGCACACAAACCACATATTTCCTTTGAAAAGGGCCCCTCTGTTATTCACTGCAAACCACAAAGAAGAGTGTTCCTCACTTGAGTTTGAATGTGTGTCTGAAGGCAGGCCACAGCATCGGAAGCCTGTCCTGAGTCAGCAGGCAGGAGGACAGGTCCAGCTCTTCAAGGCGATAACTACAGTCACACACCACAACATGTTTTGTAAAATGACAATACTAAACATACTAATTATATGCATTTCATATGCAGTAGATATAAACTATGCTATAAACTAACAACTATAATATAGCTATAATGTCTTCAGAAACTTTTTAAAACTGAAATCTTTGCGCTGAACATCGCTGCCTATGGAAAATACTTCAATACTTGTGTAATCTAGCCACAGCAAAAAAATACAACGGAGAACAGAGCTTTATTTCTGTATCATAACATATGATTTTACTAGGGCTATCAATGTTAGCGCCAATATGATAGCTGCACTGAAAATACCAGAAAACTCTGTGTATCGCACAGAGTGAACCACAGCGGCTCTCTGTGCCAGTGGGTTCGTTGATGCTTTAGCTAAGTGACAGAAAAGGATCTGTCTTCATGCCAATAATTCAGAAATCACGTTATGATAAAGTAAGGAATCTTCAGATTTCTCTTTCTCTGATTGCATTTCATGGGTCAATTTTTAGATCAATTGACACCACTAGTTGTTTTTACAAGAATGCCGTGAGAGAAACCGTAAGACTCTACTATCTTCTGGTTTAAACGTTTCAGTAAGATTTAGTCACTGAAGTTCTGCCAAAATTAAACTGCTCTTTTGTTGTAGTTTCTTGATTGTTTTTTTATTTATTTCTAATTGTTGGGTGCGAATACGATTTCCCAGCAGTAGGTGTGGCCAAGGCTGTCATTTCACGAAGCCCAATAGTTGTAGCAGCAACTCCAAGTATACTCTTTTGGATCCACTTGGTATTAAACAAGTAGAAATAATAATATCTTACAAAGCCAGGAAAAAAATAAAATGCTAAACCCTAAACACTGAACAGGTTTCAAAGGAAGCGCTTTACCTGGCAGGGGTGCACGACAGCACAGAGCTCAGGACAAAGCACTTGCGTGAGGTCATACGGACGTTGGTGAGGCGGATGCTTCTGATCGAGGCCAAAACCTCTGCGGTCAGTCTGGGGTTCTGGAACTCATAGAGGAGGAGCAGCAGATCCATCAGCTCTTCTGGGGGCTGAGGCTGGCTCAGCTCTAGTATTAAATAAGAGAAAACGTCAACATAATAAAAAATGTTTGAGCGCAGGGGATCTTTCAGGGGAATTCTGATGTGTCAAGTTAACCTTAATAGACTTACAGTACTTAAACAATCACTCAAGTCAAAAGACAAAGCACACTGTGTAACAAGACTGAAAAGAACATATCTGTTACCTCTGACAAGGTACTTCCTGAGGGCATGAGTGATCTGGGCCACAGTGGTGCTCTGAATGCTGCAGCCGAGTTGCTGGAGAAGGACACGGTTACCGTAATGCAACAGCCCCCCCATGAAGATAGGGTAGAGCTCAAAAGGCTGGGCCTCACTGATCTGCTGGGGCTCTGGGCCATGGACTCCCAGGAGGCTTTGCTCCACCTGATCCAGTACGTCCTCGTTGTAGCGATCCTCGGTGCGGAACATCTCGGCAGTCATGGTTCTGGCGATGCTGCCTTTGTTTTTAATGCTGATCTTCTCGTAGAGCTTTGGAAAAAGCTTAAGGAGGTTGAAAACAGCGAATATTCGGAGGGGAATGAACTTAGAGAGGATGTTAAAGATGGCACTGACGTCCTCACTGGCTTGACCAATGGCCAGAGACACCTCCTTGGTCATCTTCTCCAGAGCAGATTTGTTCTCTCCTAGGACGACGTAGAGAGCTGCCAGGTACTCCTGCATGGCCGGGACAGCAAAAACATACCGCTTCTGATCAATCTTACTGGGGTCTTCTGGTGAATGCTTGAAGCTTTCTACACAGGGAGCCAAGAAGAAGTCGAGCACATCAGTCCGGAACATGGCCAGCTGACGCAGCTCCTCATCCGTCTTGGTCTTCCCTCCTATCCACTGCTCCAGTTCCTCTTCTGAGAATGACGTGCGTTTGTTCGTCACGCCGTCAAACGCAAGTTTCCCGACTGTACGGACTACATACAACATCAGAGAATTGTGCTGCCCCTGAATGGCCGCATTTGTCCCTGTCCCTGTGCCAAGCACCTCTCCTCCAAAGTTGAGTCTGAGGAAACTGGTGTAGATGCCGGTCAGTGTGCGGATGGGTGCCTTGGCGTCTGTGAAATGGAGGAAGTGTAAGGTGGCACATGTGAGCCAGCAGTAGGACGGGAGGAAGCAGGCTGCAGCCAGCTGGCTCTCTCTCTGAAGGTTGAGGTAGAGTAGCTCTATCAGACCATTGACCTCATTGTTATGTGTAGTTTCTCCAGTCTGCTGCATCAGGCGGCTGGTGAAGTAAGCTCGCTGGCGGTCCAGATCATTGAAGCCACAAATCTGGGCATAGCGAGTCACGTACTTCTGAGGGATACGGTCCAGAGCAGACAGTCTGGTGGTAACCAAGACGCTGGCCTAGGAACATACAACAGCCAACTTATAAAACCAACAACAACACATATTGAAATGAATACACTTAAAGGTGGGGTAGGTAAGTTTGAGAAACCGGCTCGAGATACACTTGTTGTTATATTCCATGGAATGCTCTTAACATCCCGATAGCAATGAATATCTGAAGTGCTTTGACAATAAATCCATAATGAAATGTCATCTGTGGAAGCTGTAATACTGTAAAAAGTACGACCAATCATCTGAGCCAGCCCGGCTAAAGTAACTGGATGGCCTACCTGCCTGTCAGCCTTCCATCTGTGCACAAACTTATCTCGTGCCCTCATTGGTCATGTGCGCATTCATGTGTGTTGAAGGAGGGGCTCTGTAAGGAAGTGGCCGATTTTTTCCGGTTGTGTATTTTCAAATTCTAGCGCACTCGAGCTGGTTTCTCCAAAATGACCTACCCCACCTTTAAGAAATAAACACAGATTTAAAGAGTACCTAGTATACTTTTGCAAACTTTTTGGCTTGTTCGGCCTTGGGTATTTTCATTGATTCAGCTTGGTAAAAGAACAGCAAAGAACAGTTCTATGTTCTACAGCATTTCTCTGTAGAACATAGAACATCACCCTGATAGTGATGTTGCAAGGATGCGTCCTAAAACCCAGAGATGAGTTAGCATTTGACCACTTCCGGTTCTCCGCTCAAAGTCAAAATGCTTCCCCTTTTTTGGAGCATATATCCAGGGAAAAAGTTCAATTTCCTGATTCTTTTTGCCATGTTTTTGTATTGTGTTATTTGGTCATTATTATTTGGTATATAATTGAATATTATGGATGACAGAAGGCTGGAAAGTGCTCTTGAGCTGTAGAAGACTAGGTTCCTTTTCTTAAAACAAAGAATTTGATTATTGTTGTCGTGACAACTGTCATTATAAATAAAATGCCATATACAAATCTAACATCAGCGAAATTGATATTGCCTTGGGTGCACAACGGAAAAAAAGATCCAGTTTAGTGCTTTCCTAAATAATATATTTATATGAATAGCTGGAGCTCACATATTTCACAGCTCCAGCTCTTTAATTTAAAACAGAATAAATACAGTATGAATATGACCAAGTAACACATAAAAGTACAGACAATCTTTATTTAGCCCTTATTTAAGCCTTCCAGCTGCTTTAAAGGAAATGATCCTGCCCTTTACTCAAGGCTTTTATTGTGAAACTTCTGCAGGAAGTGCTGATTACAGAGAAATAGAACAGATGAATAAATAAGATTACAGTGATTGTCCCTCACCTCAGGCAGGAGGTACTTCCTCAGCAGGTTGACCACCACTACACCTGGAGGCAGCACCTCATTGGGGTCACTGCAAAGCTCCGTGGCTCCAATCCGGAAGTCCAGTTTCATTTTCTCCATCCCATTGAAGAGGAAGAGTACATCCCTGGCCTGGTCTCCCTCCCCGCCCAGCAGGGGGTGTTTTCTTAGGTGGAGGTACTTCCTGCCCACAAGGTCCATCAAGGAGACCGCCCTGTGATGGAGGGGATAATTCACTTTGTGCAATTTATTACTAACATATCCATCGACGTAAATTTACGGAAGAGGATTAGGGCCACATTAATTATTTTTTTGTGAGGATTTGAAAAAAAGGACAAAAAAAACGTTTTTTTTTTGGGAGAAAAACATTTTTGACTTTAAAGTCAGAATTCTGACTTTTTTCTCAGAACAAAAAAAAACACATTTTTTTTTCAAATCCTCACAAAAAAATAAATCATGTGCTCTTAATCCTCTTCCGTATAAACTAAATCTGGGCCACCGTGTCCATTTTCATATTCTAGATGAAATTCTAAAGGAAATAGCTTTGAAATCTAATCTTACAACCAGATACAGCAAACTGATTTTTATTTCCCATCTATGTTTTCTGAAGTGCTCCCGTAGGCATTTCTTCATTACTATATATATCTGTCTTACTTTGACAGTTGGCCCAGGTCCTCACAAGAGAAAGGAACCAGCAGCTTGAAGTGAGTCAGGGTGGTACCAGCGCACCAATCCAGCACCAGCTTCCGCACCACAGTACTTTTCCCGGTCCCCACGGCCCCGTACAGCAGCACGTTGAGGCCCCGGCCCTCACTCCAGGCATCGGTGGTTTCAAACAGCTGCTCCACGGTCACATGGCCGCTGTAGGGGGCCTGGGTTTGGAGAGGGGAAGTGAGCAGTCCTGCCCTCTCCTCTGCATTTCTTTCCAGGATCAGCGGGTCCACATGCATGGTCTCCGGGCTGAAGCAGCCTCCAAACTGTTTCTCCTCCTGAGGAAGGTGGCTGAACCACAGGAAGAGCTTCTTCTTGTGGATCTCTATGGCTTCTTCTGTAAGAGAGTAAAAAGTGAGCTTCACACTTTGAGTTAAAGCTTTCCCAACTTCCCTTTGACATAAGAGTCATATCTTCAGATTTCACAAAATACCGAGAGCTGCTTTTGACATGTACATTTTTCTTTTTTTCTACAAGAGGTGAAATAGTGTAATGATGTTATTTGTAGTTCTGTTTAGGATTCATTACATAATCTTGCATAAATGTTTCAGTGTTCCTTTGCATCAAGTCTTTTTGGAGCTGTGCAAGCAATCAACTGCGTGTAAGGACTTAACACTCAGTGAACACCTGTTCAAATGTAAAAAGCCCACTTTATAATGGATGACAATCAACCAATCTGCACTTCAAAACCTATGCATGTTAGCAGACACTAGAAAAACACTTGTAAACTAGGATAATGTTTTAAAAGATCTATGGGTAAACATAAGCAACTATTATAAAAGGCTATTGGAATAACTTAAAACACAGACTTGACTTACCACTGGTTCAACCGACGCTACTACAAGGTGAGGTGAAGCTATGCGGCCTTGAGCTAGCATTATGCAATGCCTATTGCATTTACGCTTCTAAGTGGTGATAATATGTGGAGTCTATCCTGCTGAACAAATGTGCAAGTATCATAAATTAGATTTTGCCACAGAGCTTATTTTCAGACATTTTCCAAAATCCAATGGAGAAATCATATTGATTTTGGTCGAGGGAGCACTTTGAGCGATAGAACTATTAACAAAGCACTTATACACTAATAAAGGACTGGCTTATCTAAAGCCAGTTGAGTAGCACTTGAAATGTTTGGCTCTATGAAACCTGATGTACTTATATGATTCTGTTTTCTTCAAGGTTGTGTCTTCCTGGTCGAATGCACTTATTGTAAGTCGCTTTGGATAAAAGCTAAATGCAATGTAATGTGATGCTAACTTTTGGGTGGGCCAACAAAAAGACGTCATCACTGCACCACTCCATTAAGACTACAGATAATGTAGCTACAACTAAAACTGTACCCAGAGGAGTATTGGTCATGAAAGCTGAAGTTCTTTTTACACTGTGGTCTCGGCACTATTTTAATGTGGGGCAACGAGCAATGAGAACAGCCTTTGGACCATTGGCATGTTCCTGACCTAGAAACCAGCTGTCTGTGTGGTATTTTGGGTCCCAGCTCGCTGCTACACAATAACCACACACACCTGTACACATATCACCAAGCTATAACTCTGCTGTTGATAATGGAAACATTTGGTCATGTGAGTTGATTAACTGAACTAAACTTGTATTTTTTTAGATATAACATTATTCATAACAGTGTGTCAGTCAGGAAACTTTTCAGGTGTGTAGTTTAGAAGAAAGTGAAGCCTAAGTTTAAAGATGGCAGCTTGAATAATGTTGGCAGGGAGGGAGGGTCTAACGAGAGAAGGATCATGGGAAAGATCCTGAGTGTTTGGAGCCTGAGCCCTGACTGGAACTGAAACCATCTCTGCTTCTGCTGCATAGATTAAGAACATTCATAATATTGTATCTGTCTCTGCTTCACTACTCTATGGAAGTGGAGTACTAAAGTGCTGTAGTGCCCCTTTAAGAGCAACCTGCTGCTGCTGCTAATAATACTTACATAACCACGACATTCACAAAGCATATTCAGCGTTAGCACTGTCCTGAAACCTTCCGCTGAATGCTAAACTCCAATCATGAAGTTGTTCAGAAACAAAAACTGTTAAAAATCAACATCCTGTATTTACACTATGAATAAACCTTGTTTGTTTTTTACTGTTTTAGTTTTATGTCAGAAAGCAATGTTTTTTTTGTTGATTTGTCAAAAAATAAAAAATAAATCACATAATCCTTCAAAAATGGCAAATCTTTAAAAAACACAACATTTTATTTCTTTGCATAATATCATTTTGAAAAATCCAACAGTTTTCAAAGATAATTTAATTGTTAGAAATAACTTTTTTTAGATGACAACATTTTTGAGAAATCACCTACTTTCTGTAAGATCATCCTTTTTTTGTGAATTAACCACATTTTCAAAATGATTACATTTTTGAACAAAGAAAAATGATTTAAATGTTAAAGAATCATCAATCTGTTGAAACAAATCACCAATTCTTTGAAAAAAATCTGTCATTATAGAAATCTGTCATTTAAAAAAATCACCTTGTTCCTGAAAAAAGGCTTAATTGTGTCAAAATCAACAACATGGTTCAATTTGACTTTTTTGTCAAAAAGCAAAGAGGCTTCAAACGGAGTTGAGCACCTGGTCCTGAAGGGGGGGAGCAGAAGCTCCTGCAGTGAATTCCAGTGGCGGAGTAGAGAGAATACTCCGCCCTCCTCTTCCACCTCCATGCTCCCAGCAGCTGACTCAGCTGTCTGCGAATCACAGCACATCACACAGTCAGCATTGTTTACAATCTTTAAAATTCAAATCCACAGAGACAAGCTTTAAAGGTCATTTTAATCTCACAGTCAACAGGTTGCAGCAGGCAGACACACATTCCCCCAAGGCACTGCCATTTTAAACAGGCACGCACATTACACCCTGTAATTCTACTAAGGCTCACCCTATGATGCTTTCACACACACGGAAATGTTAATTGCATGATAAGAACAAGTATTATGAGTAACATTCGGTCTATATGCTGTAAAATGTATTATCTCTTGGATTTACACACGGCATCTATTGCACGTCTGTCCGTCCTGGGAGAGGGATCCCTCCTCTGTTGCTCTCCCTGAGGTTTCTCCCATGTTCCCTTTAATCTGTGGGTTTTCTCTGGAAGTTTTTCTTGTACGATGTGAGGGTCTAAGGATAGAGGGTCTAAGGATAGAGGGTCTGAGGACAGAGGGTCTAAGGACAGAGGGTCTAAGGACAGAGGGTCTAAGGACAGAGGGTGTCGTTTTTCTCATACTGATATTCTGAACAATCTGTGCTGTTGTATTTGCTGTAAAGTGTCTCTACTGTAGGCTATTTTTATTATATGTACAGCACTTTGGCTCCACCAAAAATCGTTTATAAATGTGCTATATAAATAAAACTTGATTTGATTAAGGGAATTTCTTTGTCTAGAATGCTAGATCTCATTAAAAAACAAGTATTAAGTAATAATCTCCAAGATTGGCAATTGAAATACCATTCTGCTCAATCACCATATCACCACAAGAGGTACCACGACTGTTGCCCTATGGACTGTTTAAAGTCCTTGCACTTGCAGTACTATGAACTGTATGTCTTTTGCAACTTTCCTAGGAAAGGTAACACCGTTCAGATTTCTGGGAAGTGTGATCATATGTCACACTTACAAAGTTGTAACATAAATGTAACAAAGCCTAAACTTTTTTATTTTTTTTTAAAGGTGGGGTAGGTAAGTTTGAGAAACCGGCTCGAGATACACTTTTTGTTATATTCCATGGAATGCTCTTGACATCCCGATAGCAATGAATATCTCAAGTGCTTTGACAAAAAATCCATACAAAACGTCATCTGTGGAAGCCATAGTGCTGTAAAAAGCACGACCAATCATCTGAGCCGGCCCGGCTAAAGTAACTGGATGGCCTACCTGCCTGTCAGCCTTCCATCTGTGCACAAACTTATCTCGTGCCCTCATTGGTCATGTGCGCGTTCGTGTGTGTTGGAGGAGGGGCTCTGTAAGGAAGTGGCAGATTTCTTCTGGCTGTGTATTTTCAAATTCTAGCGCACTCGAGCTGGTTTCTCCAACATTACCTACCCCACCTTTAATGTTAATTAGAGCCCAAACATTGACAGCCAGGGTTGATGTGGATAAGCGGGGATTGATGCGTTCTAACTTGTACAACAGGTTTGGATGAGGTTTTTTTTGGCATGTTTAATCGCACAAATTCACAATCTCTTTCACTCTTGGTTTTCTTTCTTGAGGCAGGATTTTGTAGAAACAAAGCCAGGCTTGTCTCCTTTTTGGTTTGTGCATACAATTGAAAAATAAATATCTGGCATTTTGGCTAACAGCTTAGATGTGGGTAGCATTTACTGACACCTGTTATATCTGAGAACAAACATGAACATTTTGTACGCTTGTGTTAACCACAGATCTCATTTCATGCATCTAACCAAAAACACATTCAGAAAACCATTGACTTCCAACTGATAGAGCCGTATTCATTCCTGCACCCCTCTAAAGGGATGTGACCTCATCTATGAAAAACAATTGGTCACCTACCTCTGCACTGAGCTCATCCTTCTGTTCTGCTGCCTCTTTGAGTCAAGTAGCACTCTGTGAAAAACAGGGAACGCACAAATGTAGACATTTGTCATTTTCAATCAGGTAATCTTGAGTTTTTTTTATCATTTTTTAAACAGTGCTTTGTCTGTTGACAGAACGAGCCGTAACTTGTCTTCACCTCTTATAATCGAAAATGTAGAAAGCTAGATCCTTCACATCCACATGACTTAATCTCTCAGAAACACCATCTAAAAAGGGAAATGCTTCAATTTTCTCTTAATTTATGTTTGTTGTCATAGCAACAAAGTCATTGCCCAGCAGCAGCAGCGTGGCACCTGCCACAAGAAGCTAAACTGCCAGCGGCCACTATTTGAGCTAGCTCTGTCTCAATTATTGGGCAATCTGCTGCTCCAAACCTTATGTTAATTGTTATTTAGAGTAAATAAGCACATCTGTTCTGTATGTTATATATTTGTTTGTTAAATCATCCGTTACATTGACAATGGAGTGACATAAGTTAAAATCATGTTCAGACATGAATATCCCTTGAGGGTTAATGCGCTGATCTACCAATCAGTGTCCTTGGGCAAGATACCTGTCCAAAAATTGCTCCCGCATTTTTACAGTATTGAAAAGTGTATTTGGGTCGCTTTGGAGTCAAACCCATAACATGAAGACAATAATGTGATATAAGTTTAAAATAATATCAAATAATAGCCAGACAATCCTCAACTTTTTGAGATCAATGTGTGTGCACCATATAACAAAATATATTTGTTTATTATTTCATCATATTTGACGCGTCAGGCAAAACAATGTCTCAAAAACAAATAGGCCTATTGATGATCTTTACATTTACAACATTTGAACTGATTTGGGTCTTTCTTAATTTTTTCAAACAGGAACCTATTAACAACGTCCTTATTTCGCAAAACAAGGGAAAAAAGGTTTGATTGCTTTTTGATAATATTTGGAAGACACTTTTTTACCAACTGTATACATTTTGTCCAAGGACAAATAAATTCAACTCAACAAACTTGTTTTAGCGTTTTGGACATGGTTTATTTGAAATGTCATTGGTGGGACAGAACATGTCCACCAATTCTGGAATGACCCCTCAATTTCCAGACATTTCAATCTTTAGTTAGTTTAATTAAATCATCTAAACAGTGTATTTGGCATTGCGGAAGCATAATGTAAACTGCATCATGAAACTGGAGCAGGAAACCGCCATACCAGCAGCCGTCTGAACACTAGTAAGCTGAGAACATTGGGTGACAGTTACATAACGTTCAAACTGACAGGCGAGGAAGTGGAAAAATAAAGGACGTGACATTTCTATGGCACAAGTTCCCTGGACACTGGTGTTGAGCCAAGTCTAATAACACATTAAAATAGAGGAAGGGAACTTTAGGTTACTGACTTAACGTTACTTAAACACCTGGCATTGGCAATAGTATTTTAAGATACAGTTCCAATACATTTCATATATTCATTGCGTAGAAGCAATACCAGGAAGCACGAGTCAGTGTAGCTAAATGTTACTGGAGTCAAAGCTTAAGTGACTTTAACGTTATCATGTATGCTAGCGTATTATAAACATGTCTCTATCCCTTCACATGCTAAACTAATAAAGTTATCAATGCAAACCAAATGTGAAGTAAAATGTCACGGAAAATGAAACGATAGTAGCATACAGTACCAACGCCTTATAGTCCTGCGTCCTTGTCTCCCATCGGTGGCTGTGTCAGCGGACATTCAGGTTATCTTATCTGCCTTCATTCCTATTCATTACTCCTCATCGCTATCACTCTGTTTACTGACTGACTACCGTAACGCGACAACCGAGAGGTACACTTTAATATGTTCAGTGCTGTGTTCCGCTACAGGGGAAGTCTGGTAGGATTTTCAGAATAAAATACACTTCTGCCTATCAACAGTAGCCTAGAACAATTAGAGGCCAACTGAAAAACTGTTTTTAGTTTATTCATGAGTGGCCAAATGCAATAATTCATAGTCACAATGTTGACCGAGTAGTGTGTTGACCTGCAAGATGGTTTTATAAAAACTGTGTTTTTTTAACCGTTAAGGTTGAGCCTGCAGGCCTGGCTGTGTGTTACAGTAAATACAATCTATGGTTAAAACTAAATCTTATTTTGAGGTTAAATAATAACAAATAAGACATATAGTATATTCATGGTAGGTTTTTGCAAGTTGTAAGACCTTTATGCCAATGTTGCCACTTTATCACCTTATCTTATCTTATCTTATAAATGTCCAGCATAAAGATCTTAACCCTTCCAAAAACCTACACAAAATACAAGTCTTATTTGTATCACTACAAATTAGACTTATATTCTGTGTAGGCTTTTACCCCAAAATAACGTTTCGTTTTAAACTATTTGCGGTTTTTTTAACATGTAAACCCTTGATTTTTTTAGTTTAGTATGGAAAGATGATTACATTTAGGTCAAAATGTGTCTTCTTTCACTTGATCAGGACATTGAGATTGTGAAATCTTACAAATACCTGGGCGTTCATCTGAACAATAAACTGGACTGGAGAATACAACCAGCACAGCCCCTAGTAGACCCCCCCCCCCCACACACAACAACACAGACTATAACACCCCTTGCTGTTAAATACCAACCAACTATGTGCAATGTGCTATATGTGCAATATATATATATGCCGTTAAAACTGTGTTATATATACCTGGCTGCTAAATCCGAACTGTTACAGGATGTATATTTTGTAAATTGTGTAACTTTTTATTTTTTATTATATTTGTTATTATATCATAACTTTTTTTCTAACTTAGTACTTTTTAATGCATGTAACATATGTAACATTAAGCTGTCTGTGGCTCTTTTCTGCTGTAACTATACATACATTTCTCTTAGACCAGCAGGGGTACCACATCTATGCAGACTGCTGCAATAAGTACATTAACTAACTGTCTCATCGATGTTTGTCTGAATTAATATGATAATTTTAACAATCATATAATTCCTATCAGTTGTCAATCACTGTTATGATTCACATATTCAGTGTTATTATTAAATTAATTAACTATATTTTTTGGAGGATTTAATGATGAATGTTCCTCAAGAACCTTGCTCACCCTCCTTCAAATTTGAAAGGACGGGCAGGAGCTGGTGGAACCCCTGGTGGGTCAGGCGTAGACGGGACCCTGGACGCAACATGGGCTGGTGTCAGTGGGACCCACGACGGAGCAAGGGCTGGTGTCGATGGGACCCCAAACAGGACAGGACAGGACAGGACATGGTGTTGGCAGGAAACCCGGCGGAGCACGTGTTGGCGGGACCCCCAACAGGACATGATATGGTGTTGGCAGGAAATCCGGCGGAGCAGGTGTCGGCTGGACCCCCAACAGGTCAGGGCACGGATTTGGCAGGACTCCCAACGGAACCACCAACGGAACAGGACATGGGGTTAGCAGGACACCCGACGAGGCTGTGGCTCAGTGGATAGTGTACTGGACTTCGAATCAGGGGATAGCAAGTTTGAGTCCCACTGCAGTCAGCATGTCGTTGTGTCCCTGGGCAAGACACTTCACCCCAAATGGCTCCTGTGGGGATTGTCCACAGTACCGAATGTATGTAAGTCGCTTTGGATAAAAGCGTCTAACAAATGACATGTAATGTAATGAAACAGGTGTCGGCTGGACCTCCAACGGCACAGGACATAGGGTTGGCAGGACCCCCGGCAGAACAGTAGTCGGTGGGGTCTCCAAAGGCACAGGACATAGGGTTGGCAGGACCCCCGGCAGAAGAGTAGTCGGCGGGGCCTCCAACGACACAGGACATAGGGTTGGCAGGACCCCCGGCAGAAGAGTTGTCGGCGGGGCCTCCAACGGCACAGGACATAGGGTTGGCAGGACCCCCGGCAGAAGAGTAGCCGGCGGGACAGGACATAGAGTTGGCAGGACCCCCAGCGGAACCTCCCACAAAACAGGACATGGAGTTGGCAGGACCCCCAGCGGACCCTCCAACGGACCAGGACATCGGGTAGGGACTTGAGAGGGGACTTGAGAGGTGACTCGAGAGATGACTTGAGAGGGGACTAGAGAGGAGACTCGAGAGGGAACTCGAGAGGAGACTCGAGAGGGAACTCGAGAGGGAAATCGAGAGGGAACTCGAGAGGAGACTCGAGTGGTGACTCGAGAGGGGACTCGAGAAGAGACTCGAGAGGGGACTCGAGAGAGGACTTGAGAGGGGACTTGAGAAGAGACTCGAGAGGGGACTTGAGATGGTCGGTACGCCGACAGGAGACGGGGAGCTGGCGTTGGCCGGAGAGCCAACAGGAGACGAGGTGCTGGAGTCGGCCGGTACACCGACAGGACACAGGGAGCTGGCGTCGGCCGGAGAGCCAACAGGCGACGAAGAGCCGGAGTGGGGACCATGGCTGCTGGGCCCGGTACTTGAGCCGGAACCATGGCTGGAACTGGAGCCAGAACCATGGTTGTATGGTCCGGTTCTGGAGCAGGGACCATGGCTGCATGGGCCGGTTCTGGAGCCGGAATCATGGCTGTGGGAACCGGAACTGAAGCCGGAAACATGGCTGTAAGGTCCGGTTCTGGAGCAGGGACCATGGCTGCTGGGGCCGGCACTGGAGCCGGAACCAACATCACTCGTAATGTATTTTCCTTCTCATAATTATAAAAATACCCTTCTGGGCTGAAGATGCATCACCTGGTGGTCTGGCCCTCTGAGCTTCCTCATTGTTGTGGATGATACCTGGCTGTCAGTGGCATTTGAGTAATGTTTGGAAATCCTGTTCCTCTTTAACATCCCTGGGACCCCCTGCCTCTGTCGTAGTCATGGAAACCTCCCCTGGGGTAACGGTGTGGAAGGCCGTTGTTTGGTGCTTGTTGCTGTGTGGGGCAATATTCTGGTACTTGTAGCATCCTGTGTTGCGGACAATCTCTGGCCCAATGTGAGAACTGACCACATATGAAGCATCCTTCACCTTGGAAACCTTATCCTGTTGATCGATTACTCCCTTGGAAATGTCCTCTTCCTCTGCCACTTTGTCTTCCTAGGAAACCTCCTCCACCTCTTTGTTGATCCTGAATCTCTGGCACTACCTGAGTTTGAACTGTTTGAGGTGTCTGTCCTGCATTCTCTGGTTCTTCCTGAGCTTGAATTGTTGGAGGTGTCTGGCCTGCCTTCTCTGGTTCTTCCTGAGCATGAATTGTTGGAGGTGTCTTGTTTTCGGTAGCTTCATTGTCTTTCTCAGCTACTTTTATCTTCAAAAGTCTTTTGGTTAATGCTTCCCGTTCTGTCTTTTGTGTTTCTCTTTCTCATCGTCTTTCTTCTGTGATTTCTTCTAATCTTATGTTTTCTTCCATCAGGTGTTTTGATTGACTGGTTAGCACTCTTACTTCATACTCCAATTATTTGACACTTTTGTCCGTGGAGACTCCATTCAACTGCAAGACTTCTCCTATAAATCCAACATTTGGGGAGGGAGGAGGGATTTCGGCCAGGCTTAGATACAGCTTCAGAGTTTGGATAACTGGAGCCTCTTTTGTTTTTTCTGCTATGTCTTCCCTCACTGGCAGGTCTGCTACTTGGACCACATTTATGCTGTCTGCCAATAGGCTGGCATATTCCAGATGGAGTATCAGACTTGTAACTCTTATAAACCTTTGTTCAGCTTCCCTCCATAAATGTAGCTGTTGTAGGCATTGTTCATGCTCATAGTCGAGTACTGCTCTTCTATGGGCTTTTGTTGGTCCAGGTTGATCATCTGCTGGAATCAATCCTCTCGTTTGCCACTGTTCCAACAGTTTCTCTATTTAGTTCCATGTCTTCTGTCTAAAATGTGGATGTGTCGTAGCATCTGATCTTATGCGTATCCTCTCCTTAATAGCTCTTGAGTCTGTTCTCAACTTAGTTTCTTTCGGTGACATGTTCTTTAAATACTTGAATGAAATTACTAAGTTATCAAAGATGAAGTACTAATCCTCTGACTAGTACCTTTGTATTCCTTATAAAAGTATCCTATGTCATCAGAATTTAACTTTAACTGTTTTTTTTAAAAACAGAAATTGGAAAAACTAAATAAAAATGTTGAAAAACTGAAATTGGAAAAACTAAATAAATGTTTTGAAAAACTGACATTGGAAAAACTAAACTTTTTTTTTTTTTAAACAGAAATGGTGATTTAAATTAAAAATTATGCAAATAAAAAAATCAGAAATAAAAAAATCAACAGTGTATGGTTTTGGCTTTAAAATATGAAAATAGGAATATGGTGAAAATCCAAATATGCTGTGTACAGAGTGTACACAAGTTTATGAAATTATGCTAGTGTCATAAAAATGTGTAATTCTATCTGGGTGTGGTGAAGTATGTGTTAATTTTAGGGCTGTCAAGTTAACGTGTTAATAACTTGTTTGGCTCAGAACAACGCCACGTGGTAGGCTATATATATTATGTTGTAAATTTAGGTTTTTTAACATTAAATGAGCAGTTCTTCTCAGGATCACCTGCTCGCCATAAACACACAAATCTAAAAGTTCCTCGGTAAGCTATTGAAGAATTTGATTGAACTGGCTTCTTCTCACCATGTTTCTGGGCCCTTTGTGCACCTATGTTTAGCAAGATCTCCGTTGAAAACCGGCTGGTTCCTCTCCCGGTCGCGATCACTTTGGGGTCAGACAATTATTAGAAGTATCCTTTTCTCTCGCGTCCAGGAAGAAGTTTAAAAAGTAAGAGGCAATGGAGTCTCTGAGAAGGGTCAAATTGGTTACTTTAATTAAATAGCGTGGTAATGAAACAAACAGAAGGTGGTCGGAAGAGAGAGGCTGCAGCTCCCTCTCGCAGTCCGGGTTGTGGAAAAGAGGC